ATCGGTGTTAAGGGATTGAATCTTATATCGAATAAAAATAAAAATATAGATCAATTTATAAGAATTTGGACTATTCCTCTTAATAAGGTTGACATTTTAAGATAAAACCACAAATCTTAACATGGTATTAAAGTTCGTTAAGCTTCAACGAGCAATTCGATCCTATTAAGACTCAGAAAAAATTGAGCACATGGATTTAGAGATTGGTCTGATCAAACGAGCCATCATCTTGCGGGGACATGTTAAGAGATAAAATCTCACATCGAATAAAGATAAAAATATAGACCAATTTATAAGGATTTTGACTACTTCTTTTAATAAGGTTGACCTTTTAACATGAAATCACAAATCTTAACAATATTAGCAGGCCACACAGTTGTATAGCACTCCACAGTCTCCACCTAGTTAAATTTTGGCAAGACAACTATGTTGTATCCATTGACAGTATGGAGATATGCAAGACTTCTTTTGCATGCATGATTTCTTTTAATCTTGCCATTTTTCAAAACGAATCATGCATGTTCTATCCAGAAACACTCTACCAGAGGGGAATGAACAACCGAAAATTACATGCATATAGATACACAAGATTGTTCATGAATCGTTTCTATTATTATTTTGGTTCAAGTTCACAACTTATTTTAGCTTACCCTTAGATGTGTATTAGAGCTTCAAGTAGGCAGCAGTTCTTTGTCCTATTAATATTGTTCGCATGAAGCAACCATTAAAAATGATCAAGAGCAAATCTTATGTATTGATTAGTGAACAGTTCGTATGCGCATGTGCAGGAAATACATCAAGATAGGAAAAGAAACCACAACTTTGAGTTTTGTTCAGTATTTACTTTTTCATGAAATGTTCTTGCTGTTGACCGACAATCTATATTGCAGTTTTTACATGGCAAGACAATACAGCTTTAATAGAACAAAGATGTTACACTTCTGAATCTCAATGACATAATTTACAGTAATTATATATACAAAGCCTATAGACCATAGTTTGAGGCCACAAGTCACCTTAATATGATGGAGCATTGCCACAAAGCTTTACGAGGCACGTCAGCAGTCATATAGTCACTGTTCCAGATGTATACACTGAGATCTGTATCATCTGCCTTAAATGGCATGAAATGGACCCATCCTCCCCAAGTAGCGAGTCCAATAAGGGTTAATCAACCCTGCAGGTGAAATTTCAGATGAATGAGTTTAGAAGGTTTCAACTCCTTTCATGTGCAGTGAGAAGTCGTTATTTAAGTGTGAACACATGGGGAACGTGTATGTAAATAATCACACACAAAAAAAACCTTCACTTGGATAAACATAGAGATCTATATTATGGTACCTGTATCTTTTCTTGTATCCAAACATAACTTCCAGGATAAGCATTCTCAACAACCTGTAGAGCCAATGTTAATTTGGAAGCTGTTCAAATGTCCCAGTATTAGGGCTACAGCCCCCAACCATCATCTCCTCATACACTGCATATGCACGATCAGGATTTCCCGAGATAGTATATCCTCTAATGAGAGAATTATATGTAAAAACATTAGGTTCAAGATCCATGAGCTGGAGTTCCTTGTACATGTTTCCTGCTTGCTCTATCATTCCAGCAATTCCAAGATTGTGTATTAAAGAATTGTAAGTATAAAGGTTAGGAGTGACTCCTCTGCTTCTCATTTCATCAAAAAGAGACAGAGCTTCCTTTAATTTTCCAGCTTTGCCAAGCCCATTTATGATAAGATTGTAAGAAATTAAATCAGGATCAAGACCAGTAGACTTCAATTCCTCGAAGTAGTGCACAGCCGTTTCCACTTTACCTAACATGCAAAAGCAATCGACAAGAACAGTGTAGGTTTTCAAATCTGGTCTTATCCCCTCTGTAACCATACTATCAAACAACTCCCTAGCAGTTTCCACATCACCAGTTTTCCCAAACCCATTTATAAGGATATTGTAGATAGCACAGTTAGGTTTGCATCCATACTCCCTCATCTCCTCAAACAATTTCTTTGCCTCATCCAATTTCTTGAGCTTCAAAAGACCATCTATAAGGGGACCATATGTACACGGAGTAGGAGAAAAGCCTCCACTTATCAAATCATAGTACAGATCTATGGCTTTCTCTATGCTCTTAGACTTTACAAGACCAAAAATCAGTATATTGTGAGTTATGGTGTTAGGCTTACATCCTCTATGAAGCATCTCATTGTACAGCTCAAAAAGTTCATGGATCTTCCTAGACTTCCCAAGATCATCAAGCAACAAATTGTAGGTTGAGACATCTGCAGCACAACCAGCATTCTTCATCTCTTTATGCACGTCCCAAGCCAGTTGTTTATGATGAATATCAAGAAGCCCATCGATCAAATGATAATATGCTTGTACTGTTGGTTTCATTCCAAAGGATTTCGTGAATTTCTCAAACAATCTGTGAGCATCTAGGGCTTTCTTTTGATTAGACAAAGTTTTTATAAGAGGTACCACAATTGAGTCATTTTTGCAAAGACCAACAGATGCTAATTCTTCTGCAAAAGAAATAGCATGATTCAACTCCGCTTCATTTAGAATTCCATTCATTAGATTTTCCCAAAAAGATCTATCTGATCTAATTCTAACCCGAAAAACGAAGTCCTCAACAATTTTAAATGCATCCTTAATTGAACCATTTTTCACAATGACAGGGAGAAGAGTGTATAATGTTACACAGTCAGGATAAATTGTTTTTCTCATCTGATGGAAAAACCAAAATGCTTCATTGACCCTATTCTCCTTAGAGAGCCCGTAGATGACTGTGTTATAAGTAAAAAGGTCAGGGAGGCAATCCATATCTGTCATTGAGTACAGCATCTTCACAGCCAAATCCACCTCATCATTCTTGCAAAGGCAATCAAGAAGTGTATTAAAAGTTATTGTGTTTGGAAGGCACCCATGCTTAGTCATGCTCTTAAATAACTTGAAGGCATCTTGAATTTGGCCCTCCTTCCCCAATCCAGCCAATAAGGTGTTGTAAGTGACAACTGTAGGAACAAGTTTCAATTCCTTCATTTTGCAAAACATTGTCCAGGCTTCATTTGACCGATCAGCCTTGTAAAGTGTGTCGATCAAGGAGTTGATGAGAATCACATCAGGACGACAGCCACTTTCCATCATTTCAGAAAGCAACTTAACGGCTTCATCAATTTTCCCTGCATTACTATAGCACTTCATCATCATGTTGTAGGTTATAGAATCTGGTACAAGCCCACTCTGTTTAATACCATCAAAAATTCTTTTTGCCTCTCCAAGCCTACCGACTTCTGCAAGGCTATACAATGATGCATTGCAGGCAACAACAGTTGGAACGATTCCACGAGCTTTCATCTTCTCGAATGTTTCAAGAGCTTTGTCAGTTTCTCCTAATTTTCCATAATGGTCAATAAATAGGATGTACGTGTACGCACTCTGTTCAATACCAAGCAATTCCATGCTATTGCATAGTTGTAATGCTTCATCCAATTTATTTAGTCTCAAAAGTCCACAAATAAAAGTATTATAAGTATGAAGATTTGGCACGATCCCTTTCTCTTTCATTTCATTTAATGTTGAAAATGCTTCATCAACTTTCCCAACCTTGAACAAGGCGTCAATGAGTATAGTGAAAGTAACAACATCTGCTTTATGACCATCGGCCTCCATCATGCCCCAGAATTCCCTCACTGAGTCCAAGTCTCTGCTGTCACTAAACTTGTCTAGCAAAGTTATGTAAGTAACTCGATCAGGTTTATGTCTACCATATTTCATCTTCCTGAACACTTCTTTAGCAGTATCAAGTTTGCCAGCATTACAAAGAGCATCAATGAGAACCGTGTAGGTAACCACATCTGGAACACATCCCTCATCACCCATCCTCTTCATTATACTGCAAGCCTCATCAATTTTTCCTGCTCGTCCTAGCACTCTCATGCAGATTGTGAAGGTGTAAACATTAGGCCTCAATCCTAAATTTTTCATCTCTTGTAACAAATTCATGACTGTTTCAGTATCCCTTCTCTTACCACTTGCTACCATTAGGGCAGAATAGGTCTTAAGACTGGGCTTAATGTCTTCTGAGACCATTCTTCTATATACATCTAAAGCCTCCCTCCAAAACCCCGCTTGAAGAAGCAAATGTATCAATCCATTGTATGAATATGCATTCAAAATAAACCCAGCTTTTCTCATTTTTCCAAGCGCAAATGGTGCTTGCCGAGCTCCCCCTCTTATGCTTAGACCTTTAAATATAATCAAGTATGTATCTAAATTCCTATATATAATCTGTTTTTGCATCAAATCAAACACTGCAACCATATCATCCAAACACCCATGTACCCTAAAAAGCTCAAGCATATAATTACATGTTTCTGTGGTGTGCGTAACACTAGGCAGCTCAGCAACGGATTTAAAGAAAGAAAGGGCTTGGTTTGGTTCAGATATTGACTTCAAAACCCCAATTATTTCATCTGAAGACATTCCCTTTTTCACTTTCACATCCACCAAAACAACTTGTGAACTTTTCATCGAACACCCACAAAAACCCACATGCTTTTTCTTGATTTTCTTCCAGTTTACCAAAGACCCACAAACTCTCAAAGATTGAATATTTCTTCCAGTAACTAATGCATTGTCATAGTTCGAAACACAGGATTTACGTCTAGCTAAAGAAATGTGACTATAATTACCACAGCATATTCTTGAGGAGTTAAGTATAATCACATCCATGCATGCACAACCAAAGCAAATACTTTGGGTCACTAAAATGAAGGCAATTGAATTACTCTAAAGTGTTGAAATGAATAGGAAATTCAGAGGACTACGGTTATGGAGCTTTGCGTGGTTGCTGTTCGTTGAAATGCTCAATAGAAATCAATATGCCACAAATAAAAGTAAAATATGGAAATTAGCTGCAACTATTTACCAGATATTTTGCACAGAGGAGAGGATGGAGATGGAGAAAGATATTATTATCAGATGAATGGGAGACATTGGAGCCCGGCTTCTCCCTGGTCCTACTAATCCGAAAACGTCATTTACTGTGGCAATGCGATATCAGGTCACAGCCAAGGACAAGTGGACAACATATATCTAGCTATATCAACGAGCCGAGCCGGAGCTCAAAAAAAAAAAAGCTCGAGCGAGTCGGCTCGAATTTTTTATTTTTTTTATTTTTTATTTTTTTATGGAAGGGTGCAACATGCAGCCTGCAGCTGCCTGCACAGTTGCAGGCAGCTCTTTTAAAAAATTTTATGCCTTGTTTGGGAGGGATTAAATTTTTCTATAGTAAATTAATTCTCATTTTCAGCCACACATTCTTCAATAGAATAATATTTTCTATCACATCAATAATTTTTTCTTCTTTTTCAACCACACATTTCTCATCATATCACTATTCAAAATCAATTCTTCCCCAAAAAATCTCTCACAAACAAGCTCTTAATGTTAATTGGGCAAGCTAACCTAGGCCACGGGCTAGCCTGTGCTCAAGCCGAAGGCCTAAAATGGGGGCACGGCCCGAGTCCGAATCGACGATCTTTTTTGCCATCCCTAATAATACTTGGTGAAATTCGTAAAGACACTATTTAATTTGAGCATCAGGAAATTTTGTATGTGGTAGAAGTGTAATGTACTAGTTGGGGTCAATATCAATATTTTGAAAATCGATTCAAACATCGACAAGAAAAAAGAAGTATCAAATATTTAGGACCGAAACCGACATCTACAGGTAGTAAAATGACTAAAAAATAAACAAAATTTTGAGGAGAATCGGTTGGTTTTATGGGTGAATCTCAAAACATCTCGATTTGTACTAAAGGATTTACACTTTTTTTAACGTGTATTCGGACGATTTCAAGATTGGTTCAAAGTGATTTTGGAACAGATCAATCGAATGGAAGAAAAATATTTGTACATTTCTATTTATGAATTTTCGTGTATAAAAATAAGATAAAATAATAAAAATGATAAATAGAAGGTACAATTTTTGCATCTGGTTAGTCAAGTAAAAGTTCAAGTTGAGGTGAAGGTAGTTTATGTTTGGCTCATGATTGTAAACCATTTATAAACATTTAAATCATTTTTTATAAATACATTTCGAAAGATCAACAAGTACTATTCATTTATCACGAGCTCATTTTTGTTTACTTATAATTTAAATCGTTTGTAAGCACTTTACAAATATGTTCTTAGCCAAGTTCGTCCATAATTTTAAAAACAAGACATTAGGTCTGGTCTCGTTTAATAAGGGCAAAATGTAACTTTAAAAATAAATAATATATATACACTATTTTAATAAGAGTTATTATATATCTTCTATATATTAAAAGTGGTTATGAAACGGAATTTCTTGTTTTTAACGGAAAAACTAACGAAATTTGTTGTTTTAACGGACTATGTAACGGAATTTCTTGTTTTAAATAGGCACATTCTTTCAGTATTCTTATCATAACT